GCTCACCCCTCTTCTACTCACAGGGTACCTCGGTTGTTTTCAAGTGTGGTCCCAGCATCTCCTGGGCACTTGTTCAAGCCCAGTCTAAACACACTCGATCTGAAACTTACAGATAACGGGCCTGGATTTCTGGTTTTACCAAGGCCTCATGGACTCCAGATGTATGCTCAAGTTTGGGAACCTCCATGGTTTTGAGGTTCTCCAGAGCTCACGGGTTGGAAACTTAATCCTCAGTGCTACTGTGTAGAGGCAGAGCATTTGTGAGGTGGTAAGACAGGAGGCCCCTGTTGTTTCTCCAGGGGTGAGGTTCCTATAAAAGGAGAAAGGGACAGACAGATACCACCCCTCACCACAGGATCTACCAAGTGACCTTGGACATCTCAACTTCTAGAACGCTGAGGAAACAAATTTCTGTTGTTTATAAACTCTTTAGTCTTCAGTATTTCCTCACAGAAACAGAAAACAGATTGAGAGCTGGTCTAGCCTAGAAATGACCTGAGTTTAAATACTGATTCACCTGTTGGTTTTCCAAGTTCCATTTTTTGTCCTTTCTAATTCCATATCTGTTTTTTGTTTTTGTTTGTTTTTATGTAATCAGACCGTCTACTTCTACATCTATTACTATTATTGTAGCAACAGCTGCCTTTTGTTTAACATTTGTACACAAGGCATGTGCTGATATCACCAAGTACACACTATATTATTCAGTCTTCACAATAATTCTTTAATTCCAACAAAAAGCCGAGAATAAAAGACATTAATTTGTGCAAGGTCACTCACAACAGGGATTTGGGCTGGTATCTTCCTACCTCCAAAGTTCCCAAAGTTAATGACTATCCCATATACTCCTTAGAAAGTTGCTATTCCTGTGGTCTCAGTTGTCATTTACACTACACTGTTCCTGGTCCTCTCCAACTCTGAAGGAGAATTCTGAACTACCTACACAGTGGATCTGTCTACTGAAGCTCCCCATAAGCTCCTTAAAATTAACACAGCACCACTGTTTCTCTGCACTTAAACCATCCCTCCGCTATTTTCCAAGTTAATGGCATCATAATCACTTGGTCACAGGAGCGTGTCCTCTTGAATTTGTTCTCCCTCCCCTTCTATGTGTTCTGAAAGTTTTAAACTTCTAACAACTAAAATGTTTCCTTTCCTTTCCTGAGATAGCAGCACATCCCTGCCTTTCCACTCTAAAGCAACCTATGTGGAACTGCTGATTACTCCTGAGGACGTGCTTGATCTACTTTCTTTGCTTTCCATTGCCAAGTAAATGAGCGGTGGACCTTTAGAATAGAGTGGGCCAGGCGTGGCGGCACACCCTTTTGCTCCCAGCACTTGAGAGGCACAGGCAGGTGGATCTCTGTGAATTCAAGGCCAGCCTGATACACATAATGAGTTCTAGGACAACCAGGGCTATAGAGACCCTGTCTCACAAAAAAAGAAAGAAAAAAATAGAATGGAAGATGCCTTCATAACTTCTCTTTAATATATCTATCCTATCTCTACTGCTACACGTTAATCTGGTAAGAAACAACTCAAGATGTTTCCAAAAGGACCATTCAATTTTAACAGTCAGCAACACTCCTTAGACTGTCTACCTAGAAAGCTCCTTCCTCCCCATACACAGCAAAAACCCACTTAACCTTTGGGGATAAGGTCTATCCTCTTCTCTCCTAATCTTTCAACATCAATGTTTTCCCAAATGCAGTCGATTTCTCTAGTACTTTGTTAATTCTCAGTGATTAAGTTGTCACAACACACAACAGCCAGTGGTTTATCATCTCTGATGAACACTTGTATGCCAAGAGTATTACAGCATCTCACTCATCTATGCCCTCCTCTCCGCACCAGACAGAACTAGTTACAGCTAGCGCCTCATCAATGTTTGCTGAGATGTTAAATAATGCAACACTTGCCGAGAAACCTTCCACATCCCACTTAGCAATTCCACCTCAGGCTTCCAAACCATTCTACAGAATTCTGTCTCTTTGTAGAGGGGGGACGAAAGTGAGACAGACTCTTGTAGCCCTGGCTAGCCTCAAAATCACTGTTGCAGGGGATGCTGTTGAGTCCCTGAGCCTCTTGCCTTCACTTTCCAAGTGTTGAGATTACAAGTATGTGTCACTACAAACAGCTCAAGAACTTTCTAATAACAAAAAAAGTTATAGATAATTTAATATTCTCCAGCAGTGTGTAATTGCTGTCAGATCTTTTTGTCAATGTTTCTTCGTATCTTCCTTCAGACAGGGTCCCTTTCTAGCTAACATTATTTGTATTTTGTCACAGGATCAGCAGTAAATGCTTAGCAGGGCACTGTGAGAGATAATCTCAGTGGAAACTGTGTCACTGAATGTGTTAGATGACGACTTTGGTTACATCATTTCTGTAATTGTCCAGAACAGCAGCCTAAACCCATTAGGTAGATTTGGGGGGCTGAGCCACGTAGTACTGACAACCTAGGGAAAAAGCACAGGAATGAAGCATTGATTCCAATTACTAAATGAAATCGAAAGATACAGAATTCTGGTCCTGGATCAACTGGATATCCTTTAAGTGAAAATAACATTTTTTTTAGGCATGGCATAATGGCTCATATCTATATTCCCAGTAATCAGGAAGCAGAGTCAGGAAGATCATACTAAGTCTGAGGACAACATGATCTACACACGTTCTAGGCCAGCCAGGGATATATGGTAAGACCCTCTCTCAAGAAACAAATAGATGTTTTAAAACAATAACACTTGTAACTTATTCCTGTCTGAGACTTTATTCTGATCAACACACCACCTCATTCCCCATGCAAACAGACTCTGTTCTAGTTTTTGTGTTGCTATGATAAAACATTAATCAAAACCAACTTGGGGGAGGGTTTATTTTGTTTACAGGTTAATTGTCCATCATCAAGGACAGCAAAGGCTGGAACCTGGAGGCAGGAGCCAGGTGCTGTTTACTGGCTTGCCTTCATAGAGAACCCAGGACCACCTGCAGGGTGGCTCTGCAGGGGGTTAAGGAGGCACTCCTACGTCAATTATCACTTAAGGAAATGCCCCCACAGACTGTACACAGGCCAATCTGATGGAAGCAATTCCTCTGGCGGCTCCCTCTTCCCAGGGATTTATTAGGAGGCCGGCTGTAACTCTGCATCCCCATTAAGTTTTCTCTACTATTTCTGTGTAAGAAAACTTTCTCTGCTCCAGTCAACACAAGTCTCTTCAAAATATCCCTCTGACATCCAACGAACAAATTCACATTAACTTTTCACAACAGGACTTCTTACTTCTTTCCCAATTCCAATTTTATACCTCCTTTAAAGGCCAGCCCTAGTCTTCCCTTCCCGAGTCCCCTACCTCTGGCCTCCTCATGTCTACATTTCTCCAATACTACAGCCCCATCTAATGCTACTGCCTCATTCAGTCCCATGATTCTTCTATATATACACGCTTTCTTTTCCTGACTAGTGTTCATTGTTAAAGGAAAAAGGCTGGTCGGTCAGCTATTCACTTGTGATCCCACAATCCTCTCACTGATTTAGCACAACTCTGGAAAGAGAGGAACGGTTGTATTAACTCTGGGAAGGCTGAGACTACATGCCTCTCCGAAAACCATCTATACAATGTGATGCTCTACCGACTGTGTGTCCGCTCTGTAGCACGCAGTTTTCTAGGAGACACAGGCAGAAAAGGAAAGCGGAAGACCCTAGTCCCGAAAGTTCATAAATGAACAGTGGCTCCTGAGTATTCGGCTTTACACAGCTTTACTGATTCCAAGACGTGAGAACTTCAGATGCCATACTTGACAGCCTTGGCTATAAAACTGAATCTCTGGATTGTGGAGCTGGGTGGAAACTGAAGGTATGTCACTCTATTTTTATGCATAAATCATGACTAAATGTCAGTGCTCCCTGGTCATTGGTTCTAGGCACTGCCTTTAACAGGTAAAGGGGAAAAAAAGCAACTTCTTCCGTCTGTCTCCATTACTCCTCCTTCCCCAGGGATGGTTAGGACAACCACCCCACACTCAACCCACTGGAGTCCCGCGCACAGTACTGACTGATGGCTAGCTGCATCTTTTTACTCCAGCTGCACTACTCTAGCCCACACGTGGACTGCAATCTATATTTTCATTCGATAAATAACCGCCTGCCTGCTTGGAGAGAAAACACACACAAGAGGCAGGGCTGCCCTACCCTCCGGGCCCTTGCAGTGGCCCAGCGCACAGCAAGTTCTTGGAGATAAATACAAGAGCAGTTTCGAGTCCATGAGGAAGTAACAACACTGGCTGGATATGGTCCTCTGGCTTCAAAATGCTACCAACACTGGATTTAAAAAAAAAAAAAAAAAAAAAAAATCAGAGAAGCACGTGGGCATACACGTGAGGCTGGAAGGTCCAGGCAACTGCTTGGCGGCGGCCCGGCATCGACACTGACAGGTCGCCTTCCCCAGGTCGTGGGTGTGCCCGAATCTAGCGCCGAGACTCCTAACTCTCTCCCTAACTACCCGCTCCTACTCCGGGACCCACCAGGGTAGAACCGACGAAGCCTTTCGGGGTTAACCTAAAACTTTGTGAACCCCTAAACCCCGAGGGTCCCCGTTTCCGCGTTTGTCAGGCTGGCAAAGTCGCGTCTCCGGTCCTGGCGCGAGGCTGCTGAGGAACGCGGGCTTCTGCCGCTTCGAAGTCCTCCGTGGAAGGGAAACTGGCAGCGTCATGCGGGAATCCAGTCACTTGTCCCTCCGCACCCTCCTCCAGCGCGCCCCCACCCCACCCCACCCCACCCCACCCCCGCCCCAAGAGCGCCAGGCCCGGGAACTGACCCTCGTCAGCCCCCGTCCCCGCCCCCGGAACCAGCGGCCGAGGGGCGTGGAGCGGCGCACGCGGGTACGGCGATGGCGGGGGGGAGCGGGGGGCGCGCGTCTCCGCGCCCCGGGCCCGCGCAGCAGGTGCGGCCAGGCCCCACCTCCCCCCCGCCCCCCCGCCGCCGAGTGGCCCCGGCGACTCACCCCGACGATGTTCCTCAGCGACCTAACCGCCGCCACACACGTCTCTTCCGCCAGCAACGACCTTGCCTCGTGGCCACCGCCCCCTCGACCGCCGCCGCCGTCGCCGCCTTCCCCGCCGCCGCCGTCGCGGCGCGCGCCCGCTTTCACGCACACCGCCGTGGCCGCGCACGCGCTTTGCGCGCTGGCGTCACTTAGCAACGGATCCCCCGTGGGCCGGGAGGACCTAGGATTTCAGGGCCCCCCCCGGGTCGCTTCGGGCGGGGTTTTGTGGCGCGTCTCCGCCCGTCGGAGGCACTGCCCCTCCTGAACTGAAGCCCTCGGGGTGTGGCCGCCCTGCCGGCACCTGGCTCAGGGTAAGTCACGTCATCGCACGTCACTGAATAGCGTCATCGATCGCGTCACTGCGTATGGGGAAGAGCCGGAGCGCCTGTTGGGGAAAATCCCTAAGCTTCTCCAGTGAGTCGCCTGCCTGATGGACAGTCGGCTAGGTGCGAGAAAGTTCTACAAGGAGAAAGAGTGAGCCACGTGAGTCATTAACAACGTTAAGGTGCGATGAAGGCCAGGCCTGGAATCCCTTGACTCAGTTTCCTCGAGCTGTCACTATGAAAAATAATACCCGACCGCCTGCAGTAGACAGCTGTGGATTTAAGACGAAATAATGCGTGCGAGGCTGCTGGGGAACCTGGTCGTCTTCGAACTTTTAATTTCAAGACCGTGGCAGAAGCCCGACTATAACTACTCACCATTCCACCTACCAAATGTAAAGTATAAAACCCACTGGACTTCATCTTTCCCGTAAGAAGCAGCAAGGAAAGCGGGGACTGTGGGCTTCGAAGTAGAAATCGGGTTGCAAGTCTGAGCCTGGCTGAAGCTAGAGAGTTGTCGCCCTTGAAAGTTAGGTACTCAACTGGGTTCGAGGATTTGAAGACGGAAGACAATTCCTAGCAAAGACATCTTAAATAGGAAGTGAAAATGAACAGAAACAGCAGGGTATGGGCCAGGGAATATCGCATTGTAGTACCCTGGAGAAGTGATCAGAACCGCCAAGGCGCTGCGAGTGGGAATGTAAATGTGAAGGCCAGCACTGGTGGGGAGTGGGGGTGGGAGTTGGTGAATAAGTAGGCCAGGATTCTAGTATGGGTGCTGAAATAGGTGGACGGAAAGAAAGATGCCTTTGTGTCCGCAGGTGGTGAGTTACTAGACGGTAATGGCATTCCTGGCCGATGACTATGGTAGAGCAACGCCTTTGAACGTGAATGAATATGTTGGTTGGAGAAGCACACTCCCTCAAGCCTTTCATGTGGAATGATATCCATCAATTTAATACTTCTAGCTTTTGCTACATATGTCCCCAATTTACTTGTCCTTGGAGAACTGGCTTCTAGACTGATAAATTTAAAAGAGCAAACTGGACATGGGAAGCCTTTGAAGAAACTGTTAGGGTGTGATGGAATGAAGGTGCCTAGTCCAGGGATACAAAGTAAATCCTAGAATTTAACATTAGGAAAGTGCCCACAGGTAACACCCAATTCCAACTTTGTTAATTGTGTTTTACAGAATAATGTTCCCTACACTGACAGCCCTCCCCCCATCTCCATAATCTGCTAATATGTTCTGTAACATCACAGGAGGGAGTTTGCAGATATGGTTCAGTTACAGACATGAGATACCCTGAATTGGCCTGCTGGGCTGGGGACAAGAGCATCAGAGTCGGAAAAGGGCATTTGAGAGCAGAGGTCACAGAGATTTGAAGACATCACCCAGTTGGCCTTAAAAATGGATCCAAAGGAGTGCAGGCAGCCTATAGAAGCTGGAAAGGGCAAGCAACTGGATTCTTGAATTTAGGACGTTTGACTTCTAGAACACTAACATGAATTGTTGTTAAAGCACTCAGTTTTTACTAACTTGTTACAACAGCCATAAGAAACCAGTGCAGTCAACAATAAAGACGAGAGTTTCCTGGTGCGTTCTCCTTCATGTAGAAAAAAAAAAGCACAGTTTATCAGGCTGCTTCACTGTGACTATGGTCTCATGGAGGGGCCCTCCACATTTAGTGGAAACCATCAAACAGCCAAATTACAGAGGTCTGTGACAGATGAGAGAAGTTGAGATTTGGAGGAAGTTAAGCCCTCAGACATGAAAGAGATCAATCAAGGCAAAAATATAACCTCAACTTTTATGTTAGAATCAGTTGCTTATAACAACAGCATCCTTAAAAATCCAACTAAGGCCGTTTCACCAAACACTTAAGAGTTAGTATAAGCTGTGATACTTCTCTCTGGACAGCTATGGCTACCGCTCAGTTATGCAAGCTATTCAGTTTGGAGGTGAGGTAAACACATGAGTAGATAGCTGGTTGCCATAAATGGGGTTTGTTGTTTGGTTGGTTCTCTTAAGGTGTAGGCAGACTATGAGGGTGAAACAGCTAATAGACCAAGGTTTAGATCCATGACATTCAGTCCTTTTCTAGGAAACCTTCTATCGGAGTCCTGAATTGGTTAAAATGCTCTTTCTCCGTAATGTTAATATAATGCCCATGCATTGTAGCATTCACTGTAATAATGGTGCTTACTACATGCCAGGTACGCATTCCTGTATCTGTGCTCCTTCTGTTTCAGTGTTACAGGCATTACAAGTCTTGTAACAGCCCTTGAGTAGGTGATATTATTAATTACAATACTTACAGATCAGAAAGCTACATCACAGAAAGTTTAAGTAATTACTCAAGTTCACAAAGTTAATAAGTGATAGAGCCAGGATTCCCGATGCTAGAACCCATGTGCTGCAACCATTCATAACATATCCTCCCTGTTCACATGGCGAGGTGCTAGAAAACATGGCTTACACAACTCAGCAGTGTTTGTGTTGCAGGGTTGCTGTGTGTGATCCCACTCTGTCCCTTCCATGAACACCAGAGAGACTCTTCTTTCTGAGCTGAAAGTCACAAATCCTTGGGCCCTCTGGATAGCTGATGCGTCTCTCTTCATAGGCTATACCAGTCGTATAACTGAATTGTGTAATCATGTTTCCCATTCATATCCCTGCCCCGAAGCCCTGAGTAAATTTGCTCACTTGGCATTTGTAACTGAGTGGATTGGTGTGCATATCTCTTTCCATTGGTATGGTAGTATCCCATCATCACCTTAACAAAATATCTGAGATAACCATGTTTGTTCTGGCTCACAGTTCTAGAGGTTTCAGTCTGGTATCCAGGGGCTCCATTGTTTTAGGCCTGTGGAGTGACAGAGTGCATGTCAGAGCAAAACCACTCACCTCATGACTAGGAAGCAAAAAGAAAACAAACAGGCCATGATTTAAGGACCCACCACTAGGCCTCACATCTTAAAGGCCCTATCACCTCCTAATGATGCTCCCCTGGGGACCTTTGAAAGAATATTCTAGATCCAAACTATAGAAGTTGGTTTGAAGCTTTTCTGCATATATAATTGGGAAAACTACCTACATTTTTCTTGTTTTCTAAATTATTGACAGCATAGATTTTATAATTTAAAAAGCCTCATTTTTTTTTTTTTTTTTTTTTTTTTTTTTTTTTTTTTTTTGGTTTTTTGAGACAGGGTTTCTCTGTGTAGCTTTGCGCCTCTCCTGGAACTCACTTGGTAGCCCAGGCTGGCCTCGAACTCACAGAGATCCGCCTGGCTCTGCCTCCCGAGTGCTGGGATTAAAGGCGTGCGCCACCACCGCCCGGCTAAAAAGCCTCATTTTAAAAAGAATGTTTCAGGGCTAGCCAAAGGCTCAACAGATAGAGAAAGGCACTTGCTGTGCAAGCCTGAAGACCTGAGTTCAATCGTAGGGAACCCAGATGGCAGAGGGAGCCAGCTTCTTTCTGCATGTCATTCCATGGCTGCTACATGGATATGGCACAAATGTTCATGCATACATACAAAAAATAAAGTGTTTTCAAAGTTGCCCTCTGACCTTCACATATGAGCTCTGGTATGCATGTGGCCAGCCACACACACACACACACACACACACACACACACACACACACACACACACTTTTTTAAATGTTTGTAACTTTAATTTCTCATTGAGATTCTGGGTAAGAACTAGTTTCAAGTTTCATGACTTTGAAAGTCCAGATTGAAAGAATCATTGTCTAGACCAGAAAGTATTTCAAGTAGCATAAATTAGCCAAGTTGTGGCCTTTCTTGGTTTTTTATTTATATATATAAAATCTAGATAATATGTGGGTTCTTTGGACACATAATCTCCATGCCTTAGAAACAAGAAAGTCTGTTTTGCTATATGTTGATAATATTTTGTTATGATGGAGTTTAATGTATGTAGTTATCCTTGTTACCATTTGTCATTGAGAATGAATGTCATTCCAAAACGACATGTCCTCAATTTAATTGGCTTAAGTTCAGTGATACCAGGTTAATCTCTTTTTGTTTAGTTTTGTTTGTGAGACAGGGCCTTGCTATGTAGCCCTGGCTGTCCTTGAACTCTCAGAGATCTGCCTGCCTTCTGGTGCTGGGATTAAAGGAATGTGCCACCATGCCATGCCTAAGGTTCGTTTCTTTACCAAGGGGGATGTTTTGTATGTTATCCTTCCGACTTTGTTGGTAGCCATACATTTCATAAGAGCACACTCAGATTTTCTTACAGTCAAGAACGAGCAATGAGGCTGGAGAGATGGCTCAGTGGTTAAGAGTATGTACTGCTTTTGGAGAGGATCTGAGTTTGAGTCCCAGCACTCATATGGAGCAGCTCACTGCCTGTAACACCTGTTCCAGGGGCTTCAACGCCCTCTTCTGGACACCGCACTTCTGTACTCACATATGCACATACCTGCCCAGAGATACACACATGTGTATACTAATACTAATATACTAATGCTTATACTAATACTTTCTTGAAAAAAAAATTTAATTCAAATCTCCTACCATTCTCCAGCAGAGCATTTCAGTTCTTAAATAGCTCAAGCAGATGGGTAATGTTCTATACCCCTCTTAGCAGATTTTGCCATGTGGTATAATAGAAGCAACCAACATTGTCGAACTTGAGATCTATTAATCTCTAAATATTGGCAACTAAAATGAACTTTAAAAAAAGAAAGAGAAAATAACCCATGAATTTACAGACCTTCTGATAAACTTGATCTTGAATACTTTTCCCCCTTATATTTGGACACCTGGT